GAGAGAGAGAGAGAGAGAGAGCATATACCCGGACAATACATAGCGCTACAGTGCTGCCGACTGCAAGATATTATGGCATGATCATGCAAAGCAAAGAGAAGGAATTTCGCATGTCACAGCCCTGAGTGAAACGAGGAAGAGCGGATATGTTCAGCCATGCTATGTTTTGCTTTGGCACTGTATGACATGAAGTCTGAGCACAAGAGGCACTGTGAAGCTATGGAGTTCGAAGACCGGCACAGTCGCCCACAGGCGTGGAAAGAGACCAAGCCTTGAGTTCCCACTTCCACTCGTCTCAACAGCAGACCCCGCGACTCCAGTTTGCTCCGTGGGGTCCTCAGGCGACCATCCGAGGAAGCACGGCAGTCTTGAAAGCGGAGGGACGGTGGCAAGACCCTGTGCAACTCTTTCTGGGGCGGATCGCATCGGACTTCATGGGGAGACGGCTATCTTCTGGCGACGGAGGTGAGACATAAACTACTCCGAATCGATGAAGGGCCGATTCAAAACATCCTCCAGGACGTGGCGGTCGAAGCCTCTGGGGTGTAGGGCTTGGTCCCCCCATCTCCCCTTTCTTTCCAGGAGGTGCTGCTGGCAAAGCTTGAGCGTCTGCGAGGAATACTTGAGATCTTGGTGCTTCCGACCAAGCCAAGAAGATTCACGAGCGAACTTCAGGGCCTTGAACATGGCTTCGGGGGAGGGCTGCCAGAGGCCTTGCACACTCCGACGCTCCGTCCAAACCCGCGGCCCCCCATGCCTGAGATAAAGATTTGGTGACTCAGAGTTTCTCTGCAAATTCAGCAAGTCCTCGATTTGTCTGGGCCTCATCTTTCGTAGCGAAATCTCGAACTTCTCACCGCTTGCCCATTCAGCGAGGAGCTCCGGATGGTCCAGCTTCGAATGCTCTGTCACGACTACCACTTGGGGATTGCGCTCCTTCCAAGTCGGCAGCAGATGGCGCAGGTAGAAGCGAGTGCCCAAGCTGCTTCCACCCGTCTCGCTGTAGCGGATGATTACCCGCCGTAGGTGCCACGTGCCATCAGCAGCATTCATTTCCGGCAACGAGACAACCTACGCCTGCGGCATAGCTGCCATCAGGCATTCAGGCATCTTGAGCCTTGCGAGGAAAGTGCATGAAGATCTCTCCCCCTCCTTCTGTCGCACAATCAATTGAGCAAGTCCGATCCTTCCCCAACTGCTTGACGATGAACTGGAGTTGGCCTGGTCCTTGGCTTCAGCATCTATTTCTACAATGTCACCCGTAATAACGGCCTGCAAGGAAGGAATGACAACAAAAACGCTAACGAGCAAGACGCAGAAACAGACGAAGCACAACATACGAACCCTTCTTACACCTAACTCTAGAACTTAAACCCGAACACCCTAATGTTCGGACCATGTCTCGCCATCGCGCTCCTCCGTGGCTGTTGCCACTGGAGCCTTAGCAGGACTTCCGTTATCCCTGCTTTTGCCACGTTCAATAACAAGCTCACACGAACAAGCGCAGGGCTGCATTTTTTGGAGGATCCGCCTAGCAACGGTCGCATCTTGCGGTTCTTCATTACCCTGGACATCAATTCAACTTCATATTTCGGATCCTTCCGGCTTCCGTTTCAAGCTTCCAGCATGGTACTGCCGCAAACGGCTGCCCGGCCTTCATCCCAGTGCACCTACTGGCCTCAGGACAAGGAAAACAACCTCGGCCATAGCAGCCAGTAGCTTGTGCCAGAACATCTGCGGCAAAACCCATGCCAAGAGTTCGCTTCTGCTTAAGGTTCAAGGTTTTGGGCTGCACTGCAAGAGTCCATCCATCCTCGCGACGCCATAGACACCTTTTCTTCCCACTGCGAGCGAAATGGCACCGCACTCCGCATGGGCGTCTTCTGGTTGCATCCCAGCCAGTCGGGTCGATTCGTCGAATCTGTGGGCTTTGTAGTTTGGGGTGCTCCCTCTTCGGTGGCAATGATTGCATCTCCGACTATCGGATGTCGGCTCGCAAAGACGCTGGCATGCGGACAGTGAAACATCTTCCGAGGGGGCAGTGGGTCCTAGCTTTAAAGGTGTAAGCCTCTGTATGACATCGATGGCTCAGCTCTTGTTGAACCAGGTTTGAGAGTTGATGTGCAGAAAGATAAAGGCAGCGTGTATGCGAGGCTAAGGGCCTTGAGGCCAGATTGCTTTGCAGCTCTGTCTTAGCAGCACTTGCACATGCAACTTCTGATCAACAAATGCCTCGCAGCTGTACACCTTCATGCGACTTGTGCACCGGAGCTCTCAAACACAAGTCCACTGGCTGCACGGAACTAGCCTTAGCTGCACGACCCACTCCGCGACGACAACAACAACAACAACCAAACAAAAATAAAATAAAATATGACACACACGCACGCACACACACATCCAACCAGCCAACCAACCAAACAAACAGACAAACAGATAGACAAACAAAACAAACAACGCGCAGCAGGTGACATGCAACAAAACCCGACAGGAAAACAACAAAAAACAAACAACAAACAACAAACAACGACCAACAACCACAACCCAGATGGACCAGAAATCACAAATTGGAACCGAATCCTGTCCATGCGCAAGTCTTTTCTATGCAAACACACACAGAGACGCGCAGAAAGAAACTGACCGTCCTCCATCGAAGCTAAGCCCCCAGCGATCCCGGCGGCTCCCTTTGGCCTCGCTTCCTGGAGCGCCTGGTTTGATCCAAACCTCGGAGGGACGAAGTCCCGAGGATGGTGCCGGGAGGTTTCGGGCGGGTTTTAGCAGGGTGAGGAAAACTTGACCAAGGCCTTACCGCGATCTGCGCAACACCGGATTTCAGCTTCACGAATGATGGGACGCCTTGTATCACAGGTCGCAGGTCACAGAGCCTGCACCGAGTGTGCAGCCGAGTCGTACTTGTCGCGAGACCGGGACCTGCGCATTGAGAGGCACTGATCTCACCCACCGCTTATGCGCCGTGAGTGGCTTTTTCTGCATGCCAGGCCTCGAAGGCGTGCGTCGCCGGGCGGACGCGGACGAAGGACCCCCAAATTCAGCTCTTCGGTACCTTTTACTGCGACATGTAGTTCCCTAAATTGGGGTCCGTTTTGGGTCCCGGATACAGCACGCTTTTGAAGAAGCGACGAAGCAGTCGACTTGGGCCTCCTCTTCATCTCCGAGAGGCGGCGAAAATGCTCCGCCTGAGGGTTCACAAATTTAGGGTTGAGGGTTTAGGGGTTTCGGGTTTCAGCACTCACTCTCGGACATGCCTAGGCGAGGGGTTTCGGGTTTAGGGCTTTTGCTGGAAAAGTTGGTGGCTTTTGGTAACCACCGCTTGGTGCCAGACCACCTCTCCTGGGGAGTGAACACGGGGCCCCTGGCACATCTGCGCATGCGCGAGGAAAGCCTTTTGTCTCCGAGAAACACGAGCAGGCCGCACGGAAGGGTCTGCTAAGGCAGCTCGGAGGCTTATGGGATCCTGCAGCGAGAGGGAAAACGAGGGGCTAAGAACTCAGAGGACTCAACGACACCAAAAAAAAAGGGTACCGCCCAAAATGCACGGCCCGAGCCCAGGCCTTCGAGTCGGGCGAGACCTTGCCAGCCCACGAGCAGACGCTGTCAGAAGCGGCGCTTAAAAGCCGCTTCAAGACAGATGCCAGAAACGCGCGCGTGCGCGCCTTTCGTGATTTTCCAGCCGGAGCAGCTGGACCTCGAAAAAACAGCAGTAAGTGTATAAGCTCTGCCTTGTTCTAGGAGTCGAAGGCAGAGGCGAGCCGACAGGGCGAAACCATCACAAGAACCTCTTCTGCTTGGCACTGCTCGGACGAACGTGCATCTCTTTCAGGGGCCGACCGGGCGAAGCAGAGACCGCCACTGCCTCGCGCTCTCAGAAATCATTACGACTTGCGGCCGCTGTCAAAAACCGAACTGAGCTCTCTGCCAACTTTGGCACTGACCTGCCGAATCCGACGGAGTGCTCCGGCCACGAGCTGCTGCCAAGCGTCGACCTGGTCTTCTGCTTTTCAGCCAACTTTCTGTTTCGATGATCCTGCAAGGAGAACCGTGACGAAGAGATTCAAACCGCAATACAAAATGAAGGAGTCTGCACTCCTCGTCATCGTCCTCGTCGTCTGCCATGGCAAAAGCCTGCCACCCGCACCGCAAGCGCTGCTGACGCCTTCAAAGGCGACCGAAGCTCGTTGAGGCCCGGGCTCCTTTTAGCTTCTGCTGGCGCGCGGCCTGGAAAGCACTCGCCGCCGCGCTCGGCCCAACGGCCCAACCCCTCCTTTCTGGCTCTTTCGGGGAGGCGGTCGGCCTTGCGCTCCTCCTCCTGCCGCTTTTGCTCCTCGCGCTGTCGGCGTTCCTCTGCCTCCAACAAGAGCTTCATGGTGAGATGAGCCGAACAACCGAACACTCAGACTCTGGCCCACTTCGCTTCCTGCTCAGCCCACCGTTTGCCTGCTGCGTGCTCCCAAAGCCGACACGGCATAAGTAGCAGCGCAGGAGGCTCGGCCCTGAGAGCAGCGCGGGCTTCTGCCTCCTCCGCCTCTTTCCTTCGCTTCTCCTCTCCAAACGTCTCTGAACGTCGACCATCCCCAAGGACGTCCAGGAAACCCTTAGTGACCTTAGCCTGAAAGCCTCTAGTTAAACAGGACTCTCGCGGATCGTGCAGTGTTTCTGCTCGCAGAGGCAGGCATTGGTACTTAAGCCCTGGATGCCTTGAGCTCAACTCAACATCACTCCACCAATCCCCTTGCACCCCAGGGCCTAGCATGGGAACACGGGACACGACGGAGTCCACTGGCCACTGGATGCCGCTGGATGCCGCTGGATGCCGCTGGCCTCCGCATCCTTCACCACCTTCTCTGCTTTGGCATCAGCCTCCTTCTTCTCCCGAACTGCGGCAGCGACTCGCAAAATATAACCCCTTCATCCCAAACACCCTTCATCCATGCAGTGGAAAAAGAAGACGTCGCCCAAAAGGGCCATGGCCGCTTTGCGTCACTCGTCTCTCCCTGAGCACCCGACGACGCCGCTCCTGGGAGCCCTCGCGAGGCTCGCGCTGGCGCTCCTCGGAGCGAGGGCTCGGCGACCTCGCAGTCAGAGCGCTCGGTCGGCGCTGCGAGCTCGCACTCGCACCCACCGAAGCTCTCGCGCACTCCGGCTCTTTTTTCCCCAAATGACTCCCCGCCGCAACTCTTGCCCTGCCTTCTCTGCTGTCGGCTTCTCTGGAGCCTCAAAGAGAAGCTTCAGCACTTCGGAAGCTCGGTAGCTTACTGTCTCAAGCAGGCCGGGGAGGAGGCTGCTTTGCAGCTTTGAGTTTGGCAATCTCAGCCCTGCGAGCTGCTTCCGCTGCTGCTTCTGCCTCCTGCGAAGCTTCGCCCCGAGCCGCGCTACGTCAAACCCCTACGCTCTCTTGTGCCCACCCTAGCACCTTCTGCTTCTGCAGCCTCTGCTTGTAGGCCGGATTTCGTCCTATCACCAACATGCCACTGATGATCGAGGTCTCGAGGTCCTCTCTGCCTCTGAGCCCCCAGCTCGACGTGACAAGCCCAGGGATCGGAGCATCCCCTGTGCCAGCCCGGTGGGACATCGCCGGAAGACCTTCTTGCTCTGCTGTCACGTCAGTCCCCCGCTCTCAAAAGGCTGGTGATCACCGCAGGTGTATTGCAGCTGTCAAGCTCTCAACTGAAAGCATGCTACTAGACTCTAGTAACTAGAGCATGTATTTGCTTCCACGTTGTGTTCGAGCACGGTTAGGGTCAGGATAGAGGTTCAAGGTTTAGTGAGGCAGCGAGCAAAAACAGTTCTGAAGGTAACTAGAGACACTTCGAGGGTACACGAGACCCAATGGAGGAAAAGCCGTGGCACACGCATCAGTTGGCGGCTGCGCCATAGAATTCTTGCTTGTCTGATGTGCCAAAGTCGACAAACCTGCCGGCACGGACACTGCCGGCGTGCCGCAACACGGGAGACTTTGTAGAATCCCCTAACCCGAGTGGGATTCCTAGGCGGACCCAAAACAAAGGATGCAATGTCAAGGTAGACAATACCGCTTGCACATCTTTATGGTCCGTCTGGTCACCGGCTGAAGGAGTGCAGATCAGACCTGACTTTCTGAGGTTCGGTCCGCCAGCGAGTTTGTGTCTACCTCGCCATCTTCGGAAGCCGAAGCGGCTGCAGAACCCAACCGGGTTCCAGCTTTAGTTTTGAAAACTTCTGAAGTTTAGGACTTTGGGTTTAGGGCTCTTAAGTTTAGGGTCTGGGGCTCAACTAGGGTTCCTTGACCAAGCATTGCCTTCTTCATGGCAGCGTCTCGACGTGCATTGCATTTTCGCATGCTACGACGGTACAGTCGGACTGAGCGAGTGAAACCATGTGATGTGAGTCTCTCTCCCAAACCGACATGGAATACACATCAATCCCGATAAATGCCGTGATGGCAAACTCACTAGCCCAATGCTCAACCAAAAAGCAGCACTCCAGGGCCCCTCGTGACCCACTAAGCACGGGGAGCCGCTTGGCCCCTCAGTGTCCACCGAACTCGTTGCGCGCCATGGCCTGGCTGGATGCAGAGCATGCAGTTGCTGGCTTCGTGCAAGCGCAGCTTGGAGTATGTTGAATATGATTTCTGATTTACCTCCTGCGTCACCCAAAAGACTTGCTTCAACTGTGGGTGCAAAGTCAAGGGAGATGGGTTTCGCGGCCGTTGTCTTTCGAGCTTTGCAAGAGCAGCAGGCAGAAGGAAGCCGCAATTCCGTGCATCATAGAGGAAGCCCTAGTCAACCGCCCCCTGCCCACCCGAGGGTGGGACTAGCCTGCTAGACCCGGCATTGGGCCGGACACAGTCGTTTACCCCGGCCCCTTGGCCCTCTTTGGAGAACTGAACGACCACCACAAGTCTTGGCCTCCAGTGTGGCTGCTGCACCGTTGCGCGGGGCATGGTGCCGCCATTCCTGCAAGGAACAGAAGCACGCGTACATGCTTTCCAAGCCCTAAATAGTGGCTTCCGGATTGCATGAATAAGGTACAAGTACCTCCCTCGCCAGGCCTCGTCCTGAATAACCAGTCCCCACGCGAGACTGTGGCATCTCTCCCCTGCCTTGGATCATCTTTCAAGATGAAGATCTGAGTCGTTCGCATGGTTCTGAAACTCTCAGCCACGAACTCCTCTTCTGAGACGCGGAAGCTACGTGAACTTAAAGGTTCCTGGTCGCTCTTGCTGCTGCTCATCAACTATCATCGCCTTTGTTTCTGGGACCTGCGGTTTTCAGAACGACAGATCCTCACAACAGCCTTACCTTCAAAATCTTGTATATGCCTTGCCAGGATACTACGAACCTCAGCACCAGCGAACGTGTGAGGTCAGGACGGCCATGGCGATCCTGTCATGTCACTGAGGGGAGGCACAAGTCGCACGACTCGAGCACCGGCAACTTGCATAGAAACGCTGCCTGCGCCCAAGCCATGGCATATCCGCCGCGTGCCGCCTGCAGCTGCACCACGAAATGACAGTATCTCACAACTAGCATGCCAACAACCTGCTGAATCCCGCAATGGACGAGAGCCACAGGAAGCTAGAGAAAGCGACAATAGCCCTTGCAGTCCGATGCCTCCTCCTGACTCATCTGCATGTCGGCAGCCGAGAGGAGGTTGAAGCTGAAACGTGGCACTACTCGAACAAGGATCAACTAGCATCAGGTGAAAGCAAGACATGTTTTGCTTGTGGAATCTGGTGGACAGTGCTGCTGCCGCCCAACTTCTCCCGCGATGCGAAATAACCCATGGGGGTTCAGAAGATTTCGGGTAATTGATTGAATACGGGGTCCTTTTTCTACAGGATCCGATTCCGGTTGCATGGGTCCTCTTGCTTCTGAAACATGCTGCATGGTTTGGCAAGTGGTCGCTTGCTGTCCGCCCGCGTGCCTCTCTTCGGTGAAACCCGAACTCCTGAAACGGACTTCGGCGGAAGCCCACGCTGCATTGGTAAGCTCCTCAGCCAAACAAGACCTAGTGCAATGATGCTCGTAATGTGGGAAACAATGTGTCCCTTGCGCTCCCATGCTCCCACTCCTGCTGATCGGACTCGGAGATAGTCTCAAGACTGAGCCTGCATACAAGGAGGTCGATGGTATAGCTTGTGAAAATAGCCACTACCACGAGTCTCAGAGCTCACGCGCTGGAATCCGGGAAGCCTTGCGACGGCCTCGAATGGAGGCCTTGGGGATCCAGCTTCTCAGGATCCAACTGACAAGCCCGAGCTGTCCTCCCTGCCAAGCCACTCATGCCGGTGGGCGCAGGTCGCAAACGCCCAAGCTGTGTTCGCCAGTGCCTTTCGTGCAAGAACGGAGGGAGAATGCACATCATCATCATCATCATCATCATCGCCATCGTGATCGTCATCGCTGTCATCATGCGTCATTATCACCGTCATCAACACCACCGTCATCGCCATGTGTGATTATCATCGTCATCATCATTATCGCGCTTTTGGCCAACTTGGACTATGCCTCGTCATCGCAATTTATCCACGCCAGTCGTGCTTCGTGGCTCCAGGGTGGATCTGCATCAATATCAGCATCATCAGCATGATGAGATGCAGATGCAAAAACCGCTTGTTGCAAAACGTAAACCTTAAACAGGAGTGCCCAGCAGGCATGGCTCGGACGTCGGAAACACCCAGGCCCAGGCTCTGCTCTACACCCGTAAGGATATAGAATGCCTTCGAATGCCTTAGAGTCGCCTTAGAGTGCTTCGGAAGAAACCTGCAGCATGAAGAGAGGATAGCTCCGTCCCCAAAATGAAAAGGCAACCTCGCCACGGTAGGACGGGTAAGCCGTAGATGCCTCACTCCCACCCGCCGCCCCCCCCCTGCCTGTGGACCGCAGGCTCTCGCTTCGATCTGCTTGAGGCTCTGGTCGGCAGCTGCCGACATTAAACGTGGACTCGCCAAGTCCGACCTTGCAGCACATGGCCCAAAGAGCCCCAAGCCGAAGCGCAGAAGCTCCGGAGCTCCGGGCTTCGCCAAAGACCGTGCCAAAAGCGCCAGGTCTCGTGCGACCTGCGCGTCGACTCTCTGAAAAAGTTGGCTTTAGACGACCGACTGAGGACAAGGCATCTGAACTCGGCCGAGCAGAACTCAGCATTGGAAGCACCCGCCCCGCAGCAGCGCAGATTAATGCCACATCCTGACGTGTGTGAAGATAACAGCGGGGAACAAGACATCCGCGCAAGCAGTTTTGACATTTGAGACGCGCCTGTGTCTCGAGCTGGCCGAACGACCAGAAACTGTTCGACAGGTCCTGCGCAGCTCAACTTCAGCTCCATGCGACAACTAGCATGCTGCGAGTGGTGGGTTGAACATGTCTTTGCCATTCTCCTGCTGATTCATTCGGTGTATCTGCGCCAGCGATGCAGCAGAGGCTGCCGATGTCAGTGGATAGTCAATCAATACCATCTTTGCCCGAGCCTGCGAAACAATGTCTTCGCCGCATGCGACGGCACAAGAGCTTCGGCCTGCACCCTGTTTGCCAAATCTCGTGGAGGCCACTCGCCTCTCAGGGAGAACCAGAAGGTATGTCCGCGTGTGATGTTGTGCCATGCTTTTCTGAGCAGCAGGAATGAATATCATCGCAGGCACGGCTTTGGACGATGGCTTCTTGCCCAGTCGAATCCAGGAGCTTCGCATGGACGAAAGACGCCTGCTTACAGAAATAGCGCAAACGACTCGACCCTGTTGCAGATGCATACCTAAACCTTGCCTGTGCATAGGCCCGTGCGATGTTGACCACCTCCTGCGACCGACATCTGTGGCGTCTTCCAAGGCCAAACTCCTCTCAACATCCCGTCCTGAACCGTAGAGGGGTTGGTCTGCTGTGGCATCTCGGAAGCATCCCTCCCAGCAGCAACTGTACCAAAGAAATACAGTAAGCACGAAAGCAGCAGTAAGCCGCCTGAGCACAAGCAGTCGTTCCGCAATGCCGCTCATGAGTTGTTCATGCAGCGAGACAGGGCGTGCAAGTGTTCAAACGGTGTTCGCCAGTTCCTTCATGCCACGCAGTGAAGCACCATGGCGCGAAACAGGCCACAAACAAGGAGAGTAAAGCTGTTGCTGTCCTGCGGGCGCCACGTGTGCAGCTTGGGGATGGCAGCCTGTCACAAACGCCCGTGACAATGATGCCGAAAGCTGCAAAACACAACACTGAAACCGGCCTCTGCTATCGACAAAAAAAGCATCTCAGCAGCTATGCTGGCAGTGGCAAAGGTCCACACGCTGTTGGAAAGCTCCTCCGTGGCAGCACCCACTGTCTCTTAAGAAAGTCTGGATGGCAAATCGTGAGAACAGTCGAGGCAGACAGCTCCGTGCCGTGTGCCACTGGTTGAGATAAGCAACAAGCTCTGCAAGATGGCATGATCGTTACGAGATGACAAACATCCAAAGGACGAAGGGAAGACAGAGAGGGAGGGAGAGACAGAGAGCGAGAGAGTGGGAAGGCATCCTATATAGGAGAACATCGTCTTGGAGGCCCTTGGCCTTATTATCCAGAGTCTATGTACACATGTTCACATCACCTCTCCGCAAGGTCCTGGGGACCAGATTGGCCCACTCGCTCCATGACTGTGGTGGCGGCAGCAGCAAAAAGTGGTGCACCTCTGGTCGTGGTCATTTCGAAGCAAACTATAAACATAACCTCAGCTTCGGATAACCTCAAGTAAAACATGTTGACCCGAACACGAACAGAAAAATGAAGAACGGGCAAAGCAGAACGTGTCTGACCTCTTTCACGGGGATCCAAGACTTGGAACACGACAGACAGCAGGCCTGCAAGGCCCTGCTTGCCGAAGGACCGGGCCGTGCTTGAAATATCCTGGCCGTGCCCTATGGCGATGCAGGTGTCCCCACCTACCACGCTTCCCAGAAGCAGTCCTGCGGCGATGCCATCGGCAGTCCTGCAAGTCATGAAAGCTACACGTAGCTGTGGCTGCAGCTTGCCATGGTGTTTATGACGCCCTCCAAGACATCGGGTCCTGCAATGAAGGATGCTGCAACTGCCGCCAACAACGGCTCCGAGTATGCGGAAAGCCTTGACATCAAAGCTAGATGCTCGGCAGAAGACGCACAAGCTCACAGTCCGAGCCCTGCATTTGCGCAACGCACATCCGAACGTTTCAAAACATTTGCCGCCATGCACGAATCATTGACATCATCAGTTCTGTCAAAAGTTTCGGCTGCTCTTTCCTTCTAGCTTTGTTGATTTGCCCTCGGCGCGACCCTGTACTTCCGATGCACTCAAACAAAAACGAGTAGTCAACCTGCAAGTGCTGTGCAAATCTGCCATACGCAAGAAGGCACCCGACCACCTCACAAGCCCGGACAAGACTAGACTAGCAGGGGTGCAAGTGGCAAGGGGCAATACAGTTGGTTGTTGGTGAGCAGCCCTATATCCCAAGCAAGAAAAAACCATCAACATGATTGCCCTCCTTTGTGCAAAATTGGCCAAACGCCAAGGTGCATGACCGACTACTGGGTATGCGCAGGAGGCTGCTAAACTCGGGACCCGGGATGTAAGACATATAGGCTCGGCCTGGTAAGGCTCCATGCAGCGTTGGCCTGCACAACGAAGACACCGTCAGCTCTGCTGGAATGCGGGCCCGGCAAAGCCTTCCCGGCCTGCTCCTGCGGCTTGGGTGTGTTCCTAGAACTCCCACCCGACGACCCCGACGAGGCCGGCAGTTGCAGGCACGTCTCCAGACCTGGCAAACAAGAGCTCTAAGTCAGAAAGAGAAGCATTAAAAGACCATGTTGGGACACAGCGGTAGGTAGGCAGCTCACGATCGGCAGTCAGCAATGCTACACAGCTACGACACGACGAGTAGCACGAAAGGATTGCGGCCAAAATAGCAACGGCTCAGGCTCAGTGCACAACACCCATCCGTTTCATTTGGTGAGCCTTGCTCTCGGGCATGAGAAGCCCAGAGACTGCATTTTTAGTCGGCTAAGGAGTGCTCCCGGAGTTATCACATGAGGTAGCTCATGACCGCGCCTCTGAATGCAATCGCATCAGTCAAGGGCTAATGGAACCAAAGCCTGGCAGGCAAACCCTACCACATCAACGAGGGACTTCTAAACTGATGCTAGCTCCAAGGTCCCGGGCAGCGTGCCGCAAGACCAGATCAGGTTGGCAATACCCTGGGCTCCACAAGCCTTGCTTTTCAAGCGTATTCTTTAGGAACCTGCCTTCAGGTCTTGATTAGCTTCAAACAGGCCTTCAGCTTGGGAAGGACCTCTGAAGCAGCCGCATCCAAAAGCCTCGGGCAGCCAGCTGAACACGTGCATGCCGGACTGTGTCACTGACGACCTCGCACAAGCGTCTCAGGCTGGGACATCCAGCCGCGCAATTCCAATGCGGCCGTTGACCAAGCTGTAATGCATAGATCCTTGCCCAAACTTCCGAAAGTAAGCAATAGCTGTTATTGCGTCGTGCATGTATGCTACGGCCTGCGCGCTTAAGACCGTGATGTTTCTCATGGCGTACTCCGACATTGCCGCAACCTGAGGCAGCCACATCAGTCTTGCATGTTCATCCTTGCACTGCAGCTCGCACCACATGGCGTCAACCCAGGCACCAGTGGAGCGTGGCGGCAATCGAGACGGGCTGGCGACCACATAATGTTGGATGCATGCTGACCTTTTCGGCATGCACACTCACTGCACTATGAAACAGCTCTGACAACGTTCAGTGCTGATCATGTCTCATGACCTATGTAACCAAGGAGATAAGGACAAATCAAGTGCAAGCAATACATCCTTCTGATGCCATGCACTGCGGACTCAAACGATTGTAGGCTGACTATGGTTGACTGATGTCTGAGACACCCACTGATGAACTCGTCCGTGATTTGTAGCGCACGCGCACCCAAAGACTATGCTGACGACGGCTGCTGGTACCGCGATTTGCCACAAGCCCGAATGATGTTGGAAATCTCTTGGGCTCCTTTCAGCAAGTGCAAGAAGCGAGAACCGGAGTGGTCACAATCAAACTTAAAGTGGCTCAGGCCTGATTCTGTGCTGCGGGCATGGACAGCATGAGACGCAGCATCAGAATAAGGTGCGTCGGCCAATCGCAACTGTGCCGAAGCCCACGCCATGCCAGAAATGCCTTGCGGATCAGAGCCTCTCGCAGGGCCAACGTTAAATTTCAGAAATATGAGCCCGGACATGCGATTTGCAAGGAACGGACAAGGCCGGACGCCAAGCATTCACGACAAATGGAACTTCATGACCTTTGCATCGAAACACTCTGCCTGGCAGGCGTTGAACAGCTTGGCCTGCAGTTGCCATACTCGAAGTTTCACCACGATGCTGCGATGAAGCCTGCGTTGCTGGTGCAAGCTTGCTTAATAATCAGAAAAAAAGATCGTGACAGCAATTGTGAAAAACGCAGCGGACCTGCCCCCACACGGTGCTGGCCAGCTCTTGTGGCTTGAGCTCGCCCAGTCGCGCGATGACAACTCGGCCGGCATCCTGTTGGATCAGACTCATGGGCAAAAAAGCGTCGCTGCATCGGGTACCATAACTGCCAACAACCCGTCCTCAATCAAAGGCGTCGACTTGTGGGCCAACCGGGCGCATCTCCAAATCGTGTTGGCTATGTGCCGTGGTGTGCTGCCCACTCGCACTCGATCATGCACGAACCCAACAACCTGACGAAATATGTTGTGGTCCACAAGACCTGAACCATCGCGAATCTTGGCCATGCGGTGCAACGCAGTCACCAGATGAGCTTCTTCCAGTTCTGCCCATCGCTACTGAACAAACGCCAGCACGGCAACTCCAGAATCAAGTCCCGTTATCTCCTTGTTGATTCTGACATCGAACGTGGGTGGTGGCGTGCTGCTGGCCCTGCGCTAGCGCCGTGATGATTGATTCGATCGAGAAGCAGCATTGCCGGAGTAGAACGAGGCCATCCAATGATTCTGCTGCCACGTGGGACTGTGCAAGTCACGAGTCGTGCATACTCGTTGTAAAAAATATTCGCTTGTTCTGTAAAACAATACTACCGCGACGACCATCAAAGCAAGCCCGTCTATCAGTTTCATTTGCACCCAATTCACCCACATGTGCTTCGACCATAACCTTTTCGAGCCAAAGTTGTGGCAAACAGCCGTTTGTTCCGACAGTTGCTACAAGTGCATGAGCATACGCTAATATCGCGACAACAACAAAGAACCACAATTATCTGTATGAACACCTATTCTGAAAGCAGGCGATCTTTCCAATAGCCGAAGCCCTAAAGCCCAATCCTGAATCTTGACATAACCAAAACCCAAACTTTTGGTTAAACGTGCATTGCTCGGGGCCGGAACACCTAACAGCTTCAACCCTAACTAGTGTTGCCATACACTGTTGAACGGTCAACCAAACCGCCGTATCTGCGATGTGCGCCAAAAAAAAGCGCAAGTCAAGTGAGCAACCTTTTTTTGACGCACACTTTTTCCTGCCGGTACGAGCGCGATCCCAAGGGGCAAGGGCGTGGAGCCAGCATCCGTCTTGCAGGACCTCATGCACAGCCGGCTCGCCGGCGGCAGATGCGACGGTGTCGAGGGGGAGCTCCATGCAAAGAGCTGGCCAGGGCCTTCTGCGCCGCGACAGCAATAATGCCACTCACGCGAAACACGAGGAGGAGGAGGAGGAGGAAAATGG